TCCAACTGAGACTGTTGCTCCTCTAAGATCTCCTGGTGAGCTGGTCTAGATGGTGATCCTTCGGCAGTGGGCACCATGTAGGGGTGTGAGACAGTGAAGAACCACATGATGTAGCCATCAACACAACTCTAGTCTGTCGGCACTCTGGTCGCCCGAGCCTCGTCAGGTACCACGTGCCTCTGGTAGTTGGCATAGATATCCTCTATCTACACACGGGTCAAGTCGAAAGGAGCGGAGACAGAGGGAACCACATAAATATCCTCTATCTGCATGCCAACTATCCTGAGAATAGGGAGATGTCGTCAAACGGGTGCATCACATGATGATCAGCATAGACGTCGTACCAGATGTCCTCAGCAGCCAGGCGATTGAGATACACTATGTAAGGGTCGACTGCCTGGTTCCCTCTGAGCAGGAGAAAGGCACGGGTACGCGACATCTGCTCTGTGTAATCAGACACACTTCCCCACCCAGCGATCATGGGAAAGTGCTGGAATATCCAAGTCTGAAATGAAAATAAAAAACATTAGGATCAAGCATTATCTCTAATATAGAATGAAAAAAAAATGAAAAAGTCGAAGGATATAAGATTGTTACCACACATAGAGCCACTCTCCTTGCCACAGTCCTGGTCTTCCATAAACATCCCTCTCCCAGCCTCGAATACGTGTAAGTCAGGGTAGCCTCCCCCCAATTATACTCATGGATCCGTGTGGAATACAAAAAGTACCTCAAGTAAGCGACATCCGTATATGTGGAGGAAGTGTCCACAAACAGCCGAGTGCTGACTAAAAATAAAAAATAACATCTCAGCACACACTGCCTGTGTATCTCAACCTCAGCTGGATCACCATCTTCCTGGTGTGGTGTAACGAGCGCCTCACCAAATCTACAGATGAGAAAGGAGAACCTGATATGAGTCCCTCTGGTATTATCTACCTCCTCCAACGCATCCAGTGGATCAACCCCAAGCTCCTCGACCAATATCACTCTCGCATCCTCCTTCGTTATCCTACCGTGACGGATGAGGGTACCCCTGATTGGTATATGTAGCTGACAGGAGATATCGTTCAATGTGATCGTGAGCTCTCCGTGCGGTAGATGGAAGGATGGCGTCTCAGGGTGCCATCTCTCTGCAAAACCCATCAGCATCCCGTTGTGGATCAGGCTGTAACCGATCTCACAAAGGTCCTTTAAACTAGAGCCAACAAGGACATCCTGGAACCAAGCCTCCTGTTGCTGCTCCAAAGATAATATCTTCTGTCCGTGGTTATAAAACTTCTGCAGATGACGAGTCTGAAAATTTCCATAAATAAGAAACAATGGTACAAGTTATAAATTCTAATGAAAAAAAGAAACAATCTAGTAATGTTACTTCTCCATTCCAAACTTGTCTGGCAGTATGGTCAACATACCCTGTCAGTAGGGACATATATGAGGGACCCCTTGGGAAACCCTCAGGCTCATCATCATCGTCGTCACCAGCATCCTCTGGTGGTGTGTCATCACCCGCTGGAGGTGACACCGGATCATCAGTAGGAGGAGGACCAAGAGGATCCCGACAAGGCCTGCGGGAAGACGGGGCCTATGATGAACCCTCAATTCAATCTCGATGCATATGGGATGAAGAAGTGGATAATGGAGTGGGATACGTGGTCGAGGGAATATTATAGGCATGTGATGAAGAAAGATGTGCCTCAATTGTATCGGTCTCGGTAACGGTGGTCTGGCTCTGCTCGCGTCTCACAGATGCATGCTGTGAAACCCGTCCAAGTCACAATCTATCTTCTCTGTCTTCCATAATGTTTGCAAGGTATAGCCAATAAAAAATAATTAGATACAAATAAATTAAAAAAACAAAAAACAAAAATAAAATTAACATTTTTTTACTTCCGGATGTATACATGCAGAAAACTTCCGTATATGTATCTACAGAAGAACCCATAATTCATAAAGTTTGATTTGTTCCGGAGCTGCATCTACGGAATTACCCTAACATTAATTTGTCCCGTAGATGTAGCTCTGGAACTTCTTGCAACTCTAACAGTAACGACAATGGCGTCCCCTACCCATGAAAATTGATTTTTTTGAAGCCCCGATCGTCCGTTTCAGCCAACAAACAATACCTACATTGTCTCTAAACTATGTTTCTAAAACTATCTAACAATTTCTACCCCTAAAACTATATTCTAACTCGTTTACGGGAAATACTTGATAATACCTCAGAAACTGGAAAATTTACGGATTATATCGAGCTTTGAATGATTTGGAGTGTCTTGATCATTGAGATGAATGCTTCTTGTCGAATTTGATTGAAAACAATTAAGTTTGATGGATTTTTTTTGTTGAGGATTAGAGAGTTTGGAGAGTTTGAGAGTGAGAAGTTGAAAAATTAAGAATGAGGGAGGAGAATGGACTCTAGCGTGAATGTATTCTGATTTGTTCCGGAGCTAATAAATGGAAATATTCCGTAGATGTATCTTTGAAAAAAACCAACATTAAGTAAAAAAAAGGTGCATTCAAAGATACTTCTTCGAAAGTATGAGGTATTTTTGGAAGCACACATGATGCCTAAGAACCCAATAAAGATTTTTTTTTTATAAAAATAATTTATAAACAACCAGTAATACACTGGTCTTATATAATTTTGTGCAAAGATAATCTCTTTTCTTCTAAGACTAATGTTGTTGTGTTCGATACTTTATGGTAACATTTTTTAGTTTTAAAATATTTTTACACATCACATGGTGCATATTTGCACCATCTCACACTACTCATTGCATTTTGTTTGATTTAAGATATCTACTGTGTTCTAAAATTGTATATTTAATTTTTAAAAATTTCAATTTTGTTTTATAAATAGTTAATTTTTATTAGTTAGACACTCTCTTAAAAAATTTAAATTTTAATGAAAAAGGATGTTTTTAAAATGATTTTGAAAAATCAAATAATTCAAAAAGATATCACTTGTGATTTTTTTTATTTTATTATTTTGATTCTCGTGTCTTTTTGTTATTTATCTTTTTTTCTTCATGATATTTAAATTTAAGTTGTTGAGAATATATATTTATTTTTAGTCCAAAATAAAATTTAAATTTTATTTGTATTTATTATCAAATAAAATTTTCAAAATTTTTTCAAATTTATTCTTATATTGTCAAATATTAATTATATAATGAATAAAAGCGTTTCATATGTTAATTATTTTATTAACTTTTATTCATGGGTTTGGGGAAATAACTCTGAATACTTTATTGTAATTGTTAATTTTAATTGCACATGTGGGAAACAACAATTTAAGAGAAAGAAAGCAACCAAGATCTTCAAACTAAAGACTGTTCAGGTGAAGAGTGGAAAAGAAAGAAGCATCAAAGAAGGAGAATATCGTGTTCTGCTTGCTGGTTTGGATTTCTTCAAGGGGTGGTTTAAACTCTTAATCCTAAGATTAGGGATCACCTTGGCTTGGCATTCCGGTTAGATTCTTGATAAAAATAAAATTCTCGATAAATTTTAATGAGGTATTTAATGTGGAGAAAAACGACAGAATTTACTGTTTAAAGTTTGTTGAAGACTTCGATGGGCCAAAAAGAATTGTGAGTAGAAAGTATGTTGGGGTGGCCGGCGAGTCGGATATGTCAGACTCTGAAGAAGATGATGGTACGTAGTTCTAAGGAAGAGGAAGAAGAGGAGTCTGAGGTGCATACTCCTAAGGAAAAAAGCAATGATGCAGACGTTAATTCCAAAAAATATGATCAGGAAGTTTCGACGTGTCAGAAGTCTATGTATGGAAAAAGGGGTTTAATAAGTCGGGTGATGGTTGGGAATCGTGATGGAGGGGACAACGCTGTTGAAAAGGTGCCTTCTGGAGGTAACGGTAAAGACAATGTTAATGATAGTCTGGTTGAAGGAACAGTCAATATCTTTAAAGAATATTGACAAAATTGTGCTTTCGAAGAGAAATGAGGTGAATGATGACTATGCTTTTTCCTATTGGGCCAGGCCAATATTTTACTTATCTATTGGGCCCTATTCAGGATGTGTTTGATCCTATCTCCTTTTCAACGCCTGGGTCCATTGGTCCATCTTTTGGTCCTCTTCTAAAGAAAACTAAACTAGTTAGTGAGATATATGAGAGCATCAAAAACCCCTTTTCTCCATCTTATTACCCAGTGTTAATCCACCAGCATCTTCCTATCATGCAAAGGTTGATTGATATTGATCATGATCCTGGGGGAAATCCTTGCCTATCGCTAGTGGTAGATTCATTGTTGCGCTATTCTAGAGGCTCAATTTTATATTGTGACTCGATCAATGATAACGATTTTAACCAATGTAACTTGAGAATTAAAAAAATCTATTGTTGATATTTCTATCAAAGTTTGGTAATGAACCAAGGAGTTGGGAATTGATGGTGATGAAGATGAAAAAGCATTTGAAAGTATCAAAAGGAGTGTTTGAAGCAAAGAAGGGGATTGAAATCAAGGTCCTATGAATTTTGTTTCTTACAATGTGCGTGGGAGTGGATCTTCAATTAAGAGAAGAAGGTTGCGTCAAATCCTTTATGAAGGGAATGAGGATCTATGCTTCTTATAGGAAACAGAGGTCCAAATCATGTCTGATGAGGTTGTTCATAGCTTATGGGGGAATGGGGAAATTGAATGGTCGTTGTCGGATGATATAGGTCAATCTGGCAGATTACTCACAATGTGGAGGAAAGATTCATTTAACTCTCATTTTAGTTTCAAAGGAACTGGATACCTAGGGATTTTTGGCAATTGGAAAGGGTTGAATTGATATTTCCTAAATGTTTACTCTCCTTGTCTATTATATGAAAAGAGGAAGTTGTGGCTGGAGTTGATTGAGGTAAAATGAAAACTACCACAGGGAGAGTGGTTGGTCACATGAGATTTTAATGCCATAAAATCTAAAGGAAAAAAAGGAAGGGCTTGGGTAATCACAATTTTTCTGAAATGGAAAATTTCCTTATGTTCATTGATGGTATGGAGCTAATAGATGTGCCAGTGGTTGGGAATAAAATCACGTGGTTTAAGGCTAACGAAAGCTGTAAGATTAGGTTAGACAAAATTCTGTTATCCGATGATCTAATTTTGAAATGGGGAATTATGGTGCAGCAAATAGGTGATGGAGATATATCAGATCATATGCCAATTTGGTTGAAGCTAAATGTGGCAAATTGGGGTCCCAAACCCTTTAAGGTATTCAATAGCTGCTATGAAAATCCCAACTTCATAGAATTTGTTAAAGATTCTTGGAATTTTGTTCAAGTTGTGGATTGTCGTAGTCATATTTTGGTGGCGAAGTTTAAAACGCTAGGAGAGAAGCTCAGGTGGTGGAACAAGAACGTTTATGGATGGGTTGATTTGAGTATAGAGAAAGGGAATAACATCCTTAATGAAATAGATTTGGAAAAAGTTGAAACTTAAAGAAAGTATGATAAAATAAAAGGCAAAGGTCAAGTTGGTCAAAGATGGAGACCTAAATATAAGGTATATCCATTCCATGCTTAATTTAAGATTTAGGAGAAATAACATTTCCTGTATTAAAACTGGTAATGACTTGGTGGAAGATGTGGGAGTGATCAAAGGCAAGATTAATAAGTTCTTTGAAGCAAATTTTTCAAAGGCTAAAGGCATTGGAGTTCGTTTGAATATGTCTAGTTTTCCTAAGTTATCTTGGGCTGATATTGAAATGTTAACATAACCATTCTCAGATGCTGAAATTTTGGAATCCCTTTCAATTTGTGACGGAAATAAGAGCCCGTGCCCAGATGGTTTTAATATAGAATTTCTAAGACGTTGTTGGGATATTGTTGGGGGTTGAAGTGAGAAATATAATCTTCCATTTTCATCAGTATGCGTCTCTCCTTAAAGCTTTGATATCTTCTTTCATTGCCCTAATTCCAAAAGTAGTTAACTCACAAAATTTGAATGATTTTAGACCTATAAGCTTGGTTGGGAGTACTTATAAAATGATATCAAATATATTGGCCTCTAGATTGAGTAAGGTTATTAGGAGATTGGGTTCTAATGTTCAAGCTGCTTTCATCCTGGTTAGGCAATTGATGGATGAAGTGTTACTTACTAATGAAATCCTTGACTTGGCTAAGAGGAGAAGGAAAGCATGTATGGTTTTTAAATTTGATTCCGCACAAGCATATGATTATGTTAACTGGGCATTTTTAGAAGAGGTTTTGGTAGCAATGAATTTCTGTCCCAAATGGATTAAATGGACCAGAGGTGGTATTATGAAGTGATATTTGTCTGCTATAGTGAATGGTGGCACTACTAGAGATTTTAAGGCTACAAGGGGTCTGAGGCAAGGTGACCCCTTGTCACATTTCTTGTTCTCCTTAGTGGCTAAATGTCTGGCTCTGTTGGTGAGGAATGCAAATCAAAAGGAATTATTTAAAGGATTCTCCATTAATGATGTCGAGTTTACTTCTATTGTGCAGTATGCTGATGATACTTTATTAATTAGTAACAATTCGTGGTCTGAACTTTGGGGTATCAAGGCTATTTTGAGAGTAAATGAATTGATATCAGGGTTAAAAATCAAATTTTGGAAGAGTTTCTTATATATAGTTGGGTTGGATATTTCTTTCTTGTCTGCTGCCGCTCAGTTTCTTTCCTGCAAAATTGTTGTTCTGCCCTTCAAGTTTTTAGGAATTCAGGTGGGCAGAAACCATATGAGATTAGAATTTTGGAATCCGGTATTGGAGTGTGTTAAATCTAAGCTATTAAGTTGGAAAGTAAGTTTGTTGTCTTTTGGGGGTAGACTCACACTTATAAAACTCGTCCTTACCAATCTTCCTATTCACTACTTGTCATTCTTTAAAATTTCCTCTAAAGTTACCAAGTCTCTGATTGCGTTACAACATAAATTTCTTTGGACTCTAGCGCGAATGTATTCTGATTTGTTCCGGAGCTATATAAATGGAAATATTCCGTAGATGTATCTTTGAAAAAAACCAACATTAAGTAAAAAAAAGGTGCATTCAAAGATACTTCTTCGAAAGTATGAGGTATTTTTGGAAGCACACATGATGCCTAAGAACCCCAAGAGGTGGGGTAAGAAATTCTCAAAAATAAAGACTTTTTTTTTTATAAAAATAATTTATAAACAACCAGTAATACACTGGTCTTATATAATTTTGTGCAAAGATAATCTGTTTTCTTCTAAGACTAATGTTGTTGTGTTCGATACTTTATGGTAACATTTTTTAGTTTTAAAATATTTGTACACATCACATGGTGCATATTTGCACCATCTCACACTACTCATTGCATTTTGTTTGATTTAAGATATCTACTGTGTTTTAAAAATTGTATATTTAATTTTAAAAAAATTTCAATTTTGTTTTATAAATAGTTAATTTTTATTAGTTAGACACTCTCTTAAAAAATTTAAATTTTAATGAAAAAGGATGTTTTTAAAATGATTTTGAAAAATTAAATAATTCAAAAAGATATCACTTGTGATTTTTTTTACTTTTTTATTTTGATTCTCGTGTCTTTTTGTTATTTATCTTTTTTTCTTCATGATATTTAAATTTAAGTTGTTGAGAATATATATTTATTTTTAGTCCAAAATAAAATTTAAATTTTATTTGTATTTATTATCAAATAAAATTTTCAAAATTTTTTCAAATTTATTCTTATATTGTCAAATATTAATTATATAATGAATAAAAGCGTTTCATATGTTAGTTATTTTATTAACTTTTATTTATGGATTTGGGGAAATAACTCTGAATACTTTATTGTAATTGTTAATTTTAATTGCACATGTGGGAAACAACAATTTAAGAGAAAGAAAGCAACCAGGATCTTCAAACTAAAGACTGTTCAGGTGAAGAGTGGAAAAGAAAGAAGCATCAAAGAAGGAGAATATCGTGTTCTGCTTGCTGGTTTGGATTTCTTCAAGGGGTGGTTTAAACTCTTAATCCTAACTTGCGCTATTCTAGAGGCTCAATTTTATATTGTGACTCGATCAATGATAATGATTTTAACCAATGTAACTTGAGAATTAAAAAAATCTATTGTTGATGTTTCTATCAAAGTTTGGTAATGAACCAAGGAGTTGGGAATTGATGGTGATGAAGATGAAAAAGCATTTGAAAGTATCAAAAGGAGTGTTTGAAGCAAAGAAGGGGATTGAAATCAAGGTCCTATGAATTTTGTTTCTTACAATGTGCGTGAGAGTGGATCTTCAATTAAGAGAAGAAGGTTGCGTCAAATCCTTTATGAAGGGAATGATGATCTATGCTTCTTATAGGAAACAGAGGTCCAAATTATGTCTGATGAGGTTGTTCATAGCTTATGGGGGAATGGGGAAATTGAATGGTCGTTGTCAGATGATATAGGTCAGTCTGGCAGATTACTCACAATGTGGAGGAAAGGTTCATTTAACTCTCATTTTAGTTTCAAAGGAACTGGATACCTAGGGATTTTTGGCAATTGGAAAGGGTTGAATTGATATTTCCTAAATGTTTACTCTCCTTGTCTATTATATGAAAAGAGGAAGTTGTGGCTGAAGTTGATTGAGGTAAAATGAAAACTACCACAGGGAGAGTGGTTGGTCACATGAGATTTTAATGCCATAAAATCTAAAGGAAAAAAAGGAAGGGCTTGGGTAATCACAATTTTTCTGAAATGGAAAATTTCCTTATGTTCATTGATGGTATGGAGCTAATAGATGTGCCAGTGGTTGGGAATAAACTCACGTGGTTTAAGGCTAACGGAAGCTGTAAGATTAGGTTAGACAGAATTCTGTTATCCAATGATCTAATTTTGAAATGGGGAATTGTGGTGCAACAAATAGGTGATAGAGGTATATCAGATCATATGCCAATTTGGTTGAAGCTAAATATGGGAAATTGGGGTCCCAAACCCTTTAAGGTATTCAATAGCTGCTAAATATAAGGTATTTCCATTCCATGCTTAATTTAAGATTGAGTAGAAATAACATTTCCTGTATTAAAACTGGTAATGACTTGGTGGAAGATGTGGGAGTGATCAAAGGCAAGATTAATAAGTTCTTTGAAGCAAATTTTTCGAAGGCTAAAGGCATTGGAGTTCGTTTGAATATGTCTAGTTTTCCTAAGTTATCTTGGGCTGATATTGAAATGTTAACATAACCATTCTTAGATGCTGAAATTTTGGAATCCCTTTCAAGTTGTGACGGAAATAAGAGCCCGGACCTAGATGGTTTTAATATAGAATTTCTAAGACGTTGTTAGGATATTGTTGGGGGTTGAAGTGAGAAATATAATCTTCCATTTTCATCAGTATGCATCTCTCCCTAAAGCTTTGATATCTTCTTTCATTGCCCTAATTCCAAAAGTAGTTAACTCACAAAATTTGAATGATTTTAGACTAATAAGCTTGGTTGGGAGTACTTATAAAATGATATCAAATATATTGGCCTCTAGATTGAGTAAGGTTATTAGGAGATTGGGTTCTAATGTTCAAGCTGCTTTCATCCTGGTTAGGCAATTGATGGATGAAGTGTTACTTACTAATGAAATCCTTGACTTGGTTAAGAGGAGAAGGAAAGCATGTATGGTTTTTAAATTTGATTCCGCACAAGCATATGATTATGTTAACTGGGCATTTTTAGAAGAGGTTTTGGTAGCAATGAATTTCTGTCCCAAATGGATTAAATGGACCAGAGGTGGTATTTTGAAGTGATATTTGTCTGCTATAGTGAATGGTGGCACTACTAGAGATTTTAAGGCTACAAGGGGTCTGAGGCAAGGTGACCCCTTGTCACATTTCTTGTTCTCCTTAGTGGCTAAATGTCTGGCTCTGTTGGTGAGGAATGCAAATCAAAAGGAATTATTTAAAGGATTCTCCATTAATGATGTCGGGTTTACTTCTATTGTGCAGTATGCTGATGATACTTTATTAATTAGTAACAATTCATGGTCTGAACTTTGAGGTATCAAGGCTATTTTGAGAGTAATTGAATTGATATCAGGGTTAAAAATCAACTTTTGGAAGAGTTTCTTATATATAGTTGGGTTGGATATTTCTTTCTTGTCTGCTGCCGCTCAGTTTCTTTCCTGCAAATTTGTTGTTCTGCCCTTCAAGTTTTTAGGAATTCAGGTGGGCAGAAACCATATGAGATTAGAATTTTGGAATCCGGTATTGGAGTGTGTTAAATCTAAGCTATTAAGTTGGAAAGTAAGTTTGTTGTCTTTTGGGGGTAGACTCACACTTATAAAACTTGTCCTTACCAATCTTCCTATTCACTACTTGTCATTCTTTAAAATTTCCTCTAAAGTTACCAAGTCTCTGATTGCATTACAACATAAATTTCTTTGGGGTGCTTTATCTGAAAAGTCGTGCATAGCTTGGGTGGGATGGAAAAAGGTTTATAAGACAAAGAGTCAAATATGAATAGGTATTATCATTTAATTTGT